AAAGAAGGAAAAAGAAAGAAAGAAAAGCACCAGAGAAAAAAGAAAAACCAAATCAACAAATAATAGAAGAAAGAAAAGAGAAGGTAAAGGAAAAAGAAAAACAAATCAGAAATGAAGCACAGAAGACAATTCTAGAGCTTGTCATGGAAGGAAGAAGGCCCTTCCATTATAGACTTTAAGTAGTCAGATGAGCAGCTTACTTCTGCTTAAAGTAATGCAGCAGGTTGCACCTAGGTACTATTAGGGTGGTCAGGTGATGCTAGACTTAGTTTGTTAAGGATATTTATGTAATTGCGAATATAATTTTAAAATCTTAATAAAGTACTAGCGTGACTGCTTAAGAGGGAAAAAAAAAAATTTTTAATGATTTAATATGCTAATAATCAAAAAAAAAGAATTTTAATATAAAGTAGTATAAAACTATAAGCAAAATTCATAAAAATTTTAAGCAATAACAGCATAGCAGTAACAATGCTAAAAGAAAAAATTTTTTATTTGCTATTGTATAATGATGAATTTTACAAGTATACAACCTTTTTTTGATTTGTAATCAAAATTGCCAATAATTAAATCTGAATTACATAATAATATATACCTGGCAGATCTGTCTGGTTACTATTTTTTGAGAACAATGCTAGAATTGTTTTTTGAAGAGATATAATCATATGTTATTGTGTATTTATTACTAAATATAATATTTAAAAATATAGTAAATATGATCTTTAAAGATAATAATAAATAATGAAACTTAAAATTATTTTTTTAAATTTTAATTTTCAATAAATTAGAATAGTTTAAAGTACACCTTTTAGCATTTTTTATTATAAAAACAATTGGAATTATCAAGATTTTTTTATTATATTTTTTATTTTATACAACAAATTGTTTTATAAAAATATTAATAAATGAATATAATAATTATTGTTAGAAAGGCTAACTTAAAAATAGAGAAATTATTTTAGCTAATTATAGTAATTATATGTTAAACTGTAATTTAAAAAATATGATTAACATTTTAAAATTTCTTGTAATTTTGTAACCTACATTGTTACTACTTATACATCTTAAATAATATTACTAAAAAAGACTAATTGTAATGTAATAGTAGTCACAAAGAGCTAACACAAAAATCTATTAGCTAGTGGGTATGGTGATCTAGTAAAGTAAATAAATTGTCAATTCCAAGTGGCAGGTCTAAAGTTCAAATTCCAGTAATAATAAAAATTTGCAATTTTTTCTGTATTACAATTAACTGTTTTCTGTAATTAGTTGAGATTAGATATCTGTAATCTGTGTTATATTAGTATAACTAGAAGGTCTAGGCACTTATGCAATATTGTATAAAGGATCACAAATCAGTACCAGATGGTGTAAACCTAAAATAAGTTCTTAGATTATGTAAATTACAGAAACCAGGTAGAAAGATAGAAGCCTACTTGGAAAACCTAAGTAAAGAAGTAATCTGAACTTTCAATGATGCTATTATAAAGACTAGATCTATGAAACAGAGCTAGAACTTGTAAAACTGATCAAATGTGCTAGTCTATAAGAAGGAATCAGATAAATGAACCAGACTACTAGAATTTCTAAATTTCAGAGAAAAAAAGTATATAGTGACAAATATATAAATCAGAGGTATAGTTAGATCTTACCTTTCTAAGCTATTTGAAATAGCAGCTTGGTAGAACTTGAATTAAATATCAAAGTAATAGGAATATGTTATAAAGTTAGTATCAAAGTTGAGATGAACTCTACAAGGGCATAGCAGTTTAATAGTATGCTCTGATTGCCAGTATTGATCTTAGTTATAGTAATATCAGATTAGTTATAAGAATAGAATACAGAAGATTCTAAAAGGTTTAGTACAAGATTAAAGATTCTAAAAAACTGCTTTAAAGACTTAATAGCTATGGCATATTTTTATCAGTATTAGTTGGGATTATTGGTAAACAAAGATAGGTAGATGAATATAAAAACTAGAGTAGTTAAATAGGGAATCTACAAGTAGATTTCAGATATAGCAACTAGTATAGAACCTTCAAATAAACTAATTAAATTAGACAATAACTAAAGTTATACAAGTAGTGAATTGTACATTCTTTCTATAGTTGCTCTCTGTAGTTGTAATGCAATTATTAGCCAAATATATTATTAATAAAATCCTGGATTACAAGTACTTACCTTAATATTTAAAAAAAATTTTTATTAGCTTATAGTGTCATAAAAAAAAACTATTGGCTGTGTTATATTATTATAACTATAGAATAAATTAGAGAAGTTTTTTGTAATTTTGAAACCTGCATTATTACCAATGCATGTTGAGAATAATATTATTAAAAAAAATTAAATATAATGCAATTATAAAGAAATAAACTAAATTAATACAAAAAAAATCTGTTAGTTGGATTTTATTATTATAACTGTAAAAGAAATTGAAATAATATCATAGAAAAATTAATAAACTCAAATTAACTACAAAAAAAAAGTTAGTTTGGTTTTATAATCATATTTTTAACAAAAAAAATATTAATAACTTACTATTTTGATTATAAATATTTTCAAGATTTTACTTTCAATATCACTTAGGCACAAAAAATTTTGTTAATAAATTAGTTATAAAGTTATAAAAGGTTATTAATTATAATAAAATAGTTATTTTTCAATAAAATAATCTAAGCATTAGTAAAATTGCTTAATTTATTTATATAAAATAATCAAATTTTGTATAAAAAAAAACTTATTATAATGCAATTACAACTACTAATTCTCAAAGTTGGTGATGAATTTCCAATAGTAGAAAGTTTTAAAGAAGCTGCACAACAAGGTGCCAAAATGGCAAGTTTTGCTTATAGTATATTATTGTCAAAAATGTCAAGTACATCAGCAGAATAAATATGCGAAATATTGTGAAAGATTTTGTATACCAAAAATCTTTTGAAATAACTGTGATTGACCCAAAATTATTTCGAAATAAAATAATTTCGCAATTTTGCGAAAGAAACGAAATAATTTCAAAAGTATTTCGGCTAATTTACAAAATTTTAAAAAATAATAAAACTAAAAAAAATGAAAAAATAATTTGAATAATATTAGAA